ATATAAAAGTATAAATGCATCAATTTGTATATCATTGCCACGCTTGAGTATGATTTTAGCATTATACTTAATATGTAAAAAGTCAAACCGAACTCAAACAAAATGAGATGATAATTGAAAGAGGGAACGAACATGGATGGACCTATTGAGATCCATCTTCTAACACGAACTTCATTGGAGATGAGAGGAAGAGAAGACGCTGACACTACCGTTGGTCGTCGTTCGCTGCTCGCCTGGAGAGAAGAAGGGGGGAAGGGAGCGGCTGCTGTCCGTTGTTGATGCTACCGGTCGGAGATGCTGCCTGTCGCTGTTTGTTGCAGCTGCTGGTGGCTTCCCATCGTGTTGTCCCTGCAAAAAAGTAGAAACGAAAAGGAGGAGGAAGGGGAAGACAGAAGGGGAGATGGAGAGAGAGGAGAAGGGGCGAGGGGAGGAGAGAAATGAAAGGGGGAGAGAGAGGCGAGGGAGGGACAGCTGCTGCTGGTGCGCTGTCCGGCAGCCTCCCTCGCTGGAAAAATGGAGGAGAGGGAGAGAGGCGGCTGGAGAGGGGGAGGGCGAGAAGGGAGAGGGGAGAGAGGGGTGGTGGCTAGTAAGGAAGGAAGAGAGGGAGAGGAAACGAAGGCGGCTGGAGAGAGACGATTTTAGCCGGAAATAATGGAGGGAGAGAAGAGAAGGGGAGGCTGCCAAAGAGGGGAGGTAGAAGAGGAGAGAGGAAAAAAATTTTCTTAGGTTTAGATCTTTGATAGTTCAAAAAATAGAGAAAAGAAGGATTTGATCTCAACCGTCGATTAGATAGAGATGGAGGGTTAGGATTAGATCTAGGAATTAATTAAGATGGATGGATGAGATTAAAAGATGAAAAAATTAAAATCAAATTGGTTGGAGGATTGGAATGGCTAAAATTGCAATTAAATTGTCTAGAATTGAAATGAAAAAGAGGCTATAATTGTAATAAAAATTTAATTGGAGTAACTAGGATTGAAAGAAATTATGATAGAATAGGCTAGAATTTAAAATTTAAGGAAAGTGTAGGAATTACTATTTAATTAAAATACTACATATATTAAAATATTTTTATATAATTGAAAATCATTTAAATTTTAACATTTGAAATTCGTTAATAAATTTAAAATATTTTAATAATATTTACGATAATTTTATAGAGTAAAACATACTAAAATATATAATTTTCAAGCAAAGTCGATTAAAAATTCTAAAATTTAAAATATGTATTTAATTGAATAGTATTCCTAAAAAAAATGGTCAAAGGTCGGTCAAAATTGGGTGTCAACGGCTGCCCCTTGGTTGATTGAGAATGAAGAATGAATTGTCAGGCAACCAACGTTGACTTAGTAGCCGATTTTGTCCGACCGACGAGAGATGTCAGTTGGATCAATTGAAACGATATAGAGTTGAAAAGGGTACGACCGAGACTTTGGTATTAAGCCGCCTACATATCTCTGGTTATACGAGAATCAGGTCGTGTGTAGTTCTAGATTCAAGATCAAATGAAACTCTTAAAAATTGAAAGAGCGCTAAGGTATTTGAAAGGCACGATATCGGCTTGAATGGATAAGATTAGAGTAGCGAGAAAAGAGAGATAGAGTGGGTAAAAGAGCATGACAGAGAAGCGAGAAAAGCATGATAAAATAAGGTAATCAGCCTTTGAGCACGGTTCAGAGTATGAGTAGCAAAGAATTGATTGGGTCTTCGTTGATAGATGATAGCATGATAATTGTAATCAAGGGCGATTGATCATATCTGCAAATTCTAGATAAAATGTTAGCTTATAAATAGATAAAGTACGACCAATAATAATAAAATATGAGTTCTAAATAGACAAGCGGTGATAAAAAGTGTATCTGTTTGAGACGTAGTGCAAACCTTGATAGTCTTTAACTTCTTGAAGGATTGAAACCCATCTCTGAAGAATAACGTCAAACTCCAAAATATTTGATAGTATAAACATATAATAATATAAGCAAAATGTCTGGTTATAGGGAGAGACGAGAGTAAATGTCGTATTGTAAGGCAGACGAGCGTAAACATCCTATTGTAAGTCGGAAGAGCCTAAACATCCTATTGTAAGGCGGAAGGACCTAAACGTCGTATTGTAAGGCAGACGAGCCTAAACATCCTATTGTGAGGCGGAAGAGCCTAAATATCCTATTGTAAGGCGGAGGAGCCTAAATGTCGTATTGTAAGGCGGACGAGCCTAAATGTCGTATTGTAAAGCAGACGAGCCTAAATGTTGTATTGTAAGGCAGATGAGCCTAAACATCCTATTGTAAGGCGGAAGAGCGCCTAAAATCCTATTGTAAGGCAGAAGAGCCTAATGTCATATTGTAAGGCAGACGAGCCTAAATGTCGTATTGTAAGGTAGACGAGCCTAAACATCCTATTGTAAGGCGGAAGAGCCTAAAATCCTATTGTAAGGTGGAAGAGCCTAAATATCGCATTTTAAGGCGGAAAAGCCTAAACATCCTATTGTAAGGCGGAAAAGCCTAAATATCGTATTATAATAAGGTGGGAGAGCTTATATATTCAGTCAGTCATAGAAGAAAGTTGATAATAGCCTCTTAAAAAAAATAATCTGAGGATAGTATGACTTACATTGTAGCTCCTAAATATGACAGTACGCTCATATAAGTTATTCCTGCATCGAGAGATTGATTCATGCTCTTTTGTAATTTGGAACTACGTCAGACCTGATTCTCGTTCAAGAGGGGATACGTAGGCGCTCCTATGGGGTTCGGTCTTATTATAAATAAAACTTTCACTTCCCCCTTTTCTATTGATAACTGGGGCAGAATTTTTGAGAGGATCTCAAAAATTCCATTAAGATTTCTCCTGGCACATCCTCATACTGGGGCAGAAATTTTGAGTTTACTCAAAATTTCACCAAAAGTTTCTTATCAACAAGCAGTCAGCTTACAACGAAGATTAAATGATAGCTCCACATTTGAGTCAGACGTTGTAAAGTCTCAACCTATGCCATGGTCAAAGATTCGACATCAGCTTTTATTAAATGATAATTTCAAAATCTTTCAAAGTTTTTTTTATTTATTTTATTTTTTATTTTTTTATTTTTATTATTATTATTATTTTTTCTTTCTTTCCTTTCCCCCTTTTATGAAAAAAATAGACGCTCGAAGAGGTGTGGATGGCAAGCCAAAGGAGCATGCTGCGCCAAATCATGGATACAGATCAACCTCCCCCCTTTAAAACTAACTATTTTTCTTTGAATGTAGAAAATGCAGGTACGTATACAAAGGCAACTGCAACAATCAACGTCACCACATTTGAGCCTCACATATGACACTCGATCCTTCCAATAAGGCGGACGCCAAGCTACTGTAGGCCCTCAAGCAACTTCTGTACTGAAAAATTACATTGTGCCCGATATTGCATCATTTTTCACCTACGTCTGATATCACACTATGCTCAAAGAACTACATCATTATATTATGCCCGAGAATGCCGAAATGCATCATTGCATGTGCTCGATATTTCATGTGCCCGAGGAAATACATCATCGCATATGCCCAATATTGACTTATGCTCGAAGAATTGCGTTATTGCATGCGCTCGATATTTTATGTGCCCGAAGAAATGCATCATTGCATGTGCTCGATATTTCATGTGCCCGAGGAAATACATCATTGCATATGCCCAATATTGACTTATGCTCGAAGAATTGCATTATTGCATGCACTCGATATTTTATGTGCCCGAAGAAATGCACCATTACATATGCTCGATACTGCATGTGCCCGATATTACATTATGCCCGAAGAAGTGCATCATTGCATTGTGCTCGATATTGCATGTGCCCGAAGAAATGCATCATTGCATGTTCTCGATATTGCATGTGCCCGAAGAAATGCATCATCGCATTGTGCCCGAGACTGCATTGTGCCCGAAGTTTGCATAAGCTCAAGATTGCATCGTGCTCGAAGTTTACATGCGCCCGAATCAAATCAAGTCACAAGAGTATCAACAGATGCCAAAAACAGATACGCTCTCTTTACTCATTATTTATATTCCAAAGGCGTCATCTTTCATGGCCTGCGGACTTCATGTCATGGCCCGAGGACTTATTTTATGCATATCATGTTCCTAAGGCGTCATAGTCTAAAGGCATCATCCTCATGGCCTGCGGACATCATATCATGGCCTAAGGGTTTAATTTCTGTCTATCATGATCCGAAGGTGTCATAGTCTAAAGGCGTCATCTTCATGGCCTGCAGACAACATTTTCATGACTTGAGGATACATTTCGCGTATCATGACCCTAGACATCATAGCCTAAGACATCATTTTGCATGGTCTTAAGGCAAACATTCATGGTCTATATGGGAAATTGCATCATGTTTACATTTACCGTTTATTTTGCTCTAATTACTTTACTACAAGTTACAGTTATGCAGATTACAGACAAAGTCGCCTTCTGAACGGCTGTTCTTGCTTACACACAAAGGCTCCGACAAATTCTTGGCTACTCGAACTATCATTTTGCTATCATTTAAGCTACCATGAAGATATCTTCGGATTCAACTCGCCACTGTGACATACTGTCTCTTCATCTAGGCTCGTCCGCCTTACAATGCGACATCTAGGCTCGTCCGCCTTACAATGCGACATCTAGGTTCGTCCGCCTTACAATGTGACATCTAGGCATGTCCGCCTTACAATACGACATCCAGGCTCGTCCGCCTTACAATACGACATCTAGGCTCGTCCGCCTTAAAATGACATTTAGGTTTGTCCATCTTATAGGACATTTAGGTCATCCACCTTAAAGGGACATTTAGGCTTGTCCGCCTCATAGGACATTTATTCGTCCGCTTTATATGATATTTAGGCTGTCCGCCTTAAAATGACACTTAGGCTTGTCTTCCTTAAAATGACGTTTAGACTCTCCTTATAACTAGATATTTTCATCTATATTATTATATCTTTATAGTATTAAATCTATTGGAGTTTGACGTCATTCTTCAGAGATGGGTTCAATCCTTCAAGAAGTTACAGACTATCAAGGTTTGCAGTACGTCTCAAACAGATGCGCTTTTTATCACCTCTTGTCTATTAAATAGAACTCATATTTTATTATTATTGGTCATACTTTATCTATTTATAAGCTAACATTTTATCTAGAATTTGCAGATATGATCGATCGCCCTTGATCACAATTATCATGCTGTCCTCTATCACAACAACGACTCTATCAATCCTTTGCTACTCATACTCTGAACTGTGCTCAAATGCTGACATGCTGCTTCTCTATCACGTTCTTCTAGCCTCTATCTCTCTTTTCTCGCTACTCTAATCTTATCCATTCAAGCCGATATCGTGCCTTTCAAATACCTTAGCGCTCTTTCAACTTTTAAGAGTTTCATTTGCTCTTGAATCTAGAACTACACACGACCTGATTCTCGTATAACCAGAGATATGTAGGCGACTTAAAACCAAAGTCTCGGTCGTACCCTTTTTCAACTCTATATCATTTCAATTGATCCAACTGACATCTCTAGTCGGTCGGACAAAATCGGCTACTAAGTCAACATTGGTTGCCTGACAATTCATTCTTCATTCTCAATCAACCAAGGGGCATTTGTTGACACCCAATTTTGACCGACCTTTGACCCTTTTTAGGAATACTATTAGATTAAATACGTTTTTTAAACTTTAGAATTTTTAATCGACTTTGCTTGAAAATTATATATTTTAGTATGTTCTACTTTATAAAATTATCATAGACATTTTAAAAATATTTTAAAATTATTAATGAATTTCAAATGTTTAAAATTTAAATAATTTTTACACGTTCCTTAAAATTATTTATGTTCTAGCCTATTTTATTCTAATTTCTTTCAATTCTAGCCACTCCAATTAAAATTTTATTACAATCATAGCCATCTCTCCCTTTCAATTCTAGCCAAATGTTATTGCAATTTTAGCCACTCTATATCTTTACCAAAATAATTTCAAGACTTGATATTTTGATCTCATCCGTCCATCTTAAATAATTCCTAGATCTAATCCTAACCCTCCATCTCTATCTAATCGACGGTTGTGATTAAACTCCCTATTCTTCTTGATTTCAATACACTAAAAAAATCATCAAAACCTAAAATTTCTACTCCCCCCCTCTTTCAGCCGCCTCTCCTCTCTCTCTCTCTCTCTCTCTCTCTCTCTTCGCCCCTTTTTCCTCTTCCTTCCTCACCAGCCACGCCCCTCTCTCCCCCTCTCCAGCCGCCTTTCTCCCTCTCCTCCATTTTTCCCGGTGAGGGACTGCCGGACGGAAGCCAAGCAGCACCGCTGCTCTTCTCTCTCCTCTCCTCACCTTCTCTCTTCCTCCCCTGCCCTCTCTCCAGCAGCGCCCCATCACCTCCATTCTCGCCGGAGATAATCGCCACCCTCAAACAGCTGCCTCGTTCCCTTCTCTTCCCCCCTTATCTCCTTCTCGCTTCTCTCCCCTTCCCTCTCCTTCGTTTCCCCCTCATCCCTCTTCTCTTCTCCCTCTTGCCCCTCTTCTCTTCTCCTTCTTCTTTTGCAGGCCGGCGACAGCCAACGCGCAACAGCAGCATCTCGAGAGGCGCGCGACAGCAGCAGCTTCAAGTCGCAGCAGCAACTGCTCCAACCAGCAGCCATGGCGAGAAGCAGGTGCGGCGACGCTCCTCTCTCTTTCGCTTTCTGCCTCTCGTCTTCTTTCGTTCTCCCTCCCCTCTCTTCTCCATAGGGAGTTTTAGTGAGGAGCAACAGCTACCAACCTCTGGGGAACAACGCAGCAGTGACAACAGCCAGCCAGCCGCCGCAGCCCCCCCCTCCTCTCCTCTCCAATTTTTCCAGCCACCCTTTTTCTCCCTCTCCCGTCGTCCCCCTTCTCCCTCTTTCTCTCCTCTTCCCCTCTCTTCTCCTCCCGTCTCTCCTCTTCCCTTTCCTCTTCTCTTTGCAGGTAGCAGCAACCAGCAACTCCGGAAAGCGAGGGAGGCAGCCAGCAGCAGCCTAGCGAGACAACAATAGCTGCCCCGGCCAGCAACACAGGACGAACAACAGCTTTAACCAATGGCGACAACAACGGCAGTCAGCAACATCACATGAAGTGTTGGAGCTTTTGTTTGAGATGGATCTCGACAGATCCGTCTGGGTTAGTTTATGTTTTAGTTTTTTATTATTATTCATTTAGATTTTTAATTTTCCTAATGTTCTGCATGTTTTCAGAAATATTTTGTTATGAATATGAAAATATATTATGATTTGCTTGATCTTATGGACTATTCTTGTTGATTTTCTTTTGAAAATTTGCAAAGTACATGTGTTTTAGCCATGTTGAAAATAATGTTGTATGATAATCAGTTCCTGTAAGTCTGCTAAATGTGATTTGTGTATTGACATGCTAAGTGTATATTGGTTTCACTTTGATTATTATTTGTTATGGTAAGTCTTGTAATTTTCAATAGTAGTTGCAGATTTCTTATATCTTTTAAAATATTATTGTCATTTTAATTGATTATTTTATTTTACCTTGATTGACTTTATATTCTTAGTTGTTATATTTTTAGAAAAGTGATATTTAATTAAGCTAAAAAGGTTTGTACTGATTTTACTCTCTACTAGTTAAGGAAAATAAGTCTAATTGATCTATTTTTCCTTATGAATAAACATATTGATTCCTTACTTGTTTGTATTATGGTAATAATTTATTTTAAAATTTTCTGATTTGGGCCTCTTTTATAATAAGGAAAGCAATTTATATTTAATGGATTCCTTGAAATATCTATTTTCCTTATTTGTTTCCCCCTCCTTGCTATATAAATAAGACCCCTCCTTTTGTTCATACACACCCATTCACTCTCAATCAAAAATTTCTCTCATCACTCTCTCTTCTCTCATTGCTCTCTTTCTACTTTAACAACACATTAATATTCCGATAAATATTCAAGTGTTCTTCGCTATTTTGCTACTTTGTTCGAGTAAAAGGTGAATCAATTTGTTTTGCTTAACCGGTTAGTATTCCTAACATTTATACTATCTTCACATTCACATATTTGTGTAAGATATTGTCTGTTTTTTATGTAGAATTCGTCATTAAATAATTGCATATTGTCTCACCTTGACTAATAAGTGTGATTACTTGTGTAGTTATTTGATTACTTCGACAGGTTTCAAACTTGAAATTCAAGTTGAAGATTGATTGAAGAAAGATTTATTTGTTTATTTGAATGTATATATATATATATTTTATTTTTGCCTATTTTATTTATTCGAATGTTGTAACAATTGTAACTCTAAAAGATCATATATATAAGTTTATTTGGGGGGTCGTCTAGGGGAGGGGGATTTATATGCTTACTTGTTTCATTAAATTTTTAGAAATCATGCCTATAGGTTTGTCTTTAATCGCCTAGATTTAATATTTGTAGGTGTTATAATCTAATCAATTTTCAATTTGCTTGACGCTTTCGTTAATAAGTCTAAAAAAATAACTAGATTCCATTAATTTTCTTAAAAAATTTTAAAATCAAATTCTAATAATCTAGTAGGTTGTTAGATGTTAAAAATATATTATAAATTTTCATTTGTCTTATCACGTAGAAACTATGCCTAAGTATTAATTTGTTCATATCATTTACAAAAGCATGCATATGTGTTACTCCTTCTTTTGAACACCTAGAAATCATGTCTATAGGTTTGTAAATAATCTTTAACAAAATTTGTTTGTGCATATTTGTTCCCTCGCCCTAAAACTAGTTAATATCATTAGAAATCCTATTTGTCCTCTTGAAGATTTCCGCATTCATTATGCAACATGTTTTTTTTTACTAAATTAGAATCATTTTATGCATTTAGCAAGTTACTTGGTTTTTAAAAATATTTCATATCAAAACCTTGCAACATAATTCAATCTTTCTTTAAAATTTTGGATTGATTATGACTCTGCTTATTTTTGAAATAAATTATAAAGCACTATCTCCTAACCTATCGTTAGTGGTAAAGTCAAAGGAACTACGAGGTTTAGTTCCAATTTTTAAACCCGACGCATCCTCGGAAGTACCACCTACCCATGAATTTCAAAAAAGAATTATGTGCATTTATGTGTAAATGTTTATGTGCCTACGTGTGAACTAAATCTTTTAAATCATTTTTTCAAAAACA